AGCCCACGGCCAAAGGGCGCTGGCACTGGGACTGGCCAAGGGCCTGCAGGAGGCCACGGCAGGCCATGTGCGGGAGGTGCTGAGGTGCCATGGGGACGCAGGGCTCCTGGCCTCCGACCGGCTCTGCCTGCTGCGCTATGTGGCTGCGGATGGATGCTATGCCAAGCTGCAGGGCCTCCCACTCCTGCCTCGTGCCGATGGTACCTTTGTGGCTTTTGGCAATGTGGCAGCCACTGTCTACGTGGACACATCTGACTGCCCCAGGTGAGTTAGCAGGGGACCCAGGCATCCCAGTGCTTGTCCTACTCCCAGCCCTTCTCAAGCAGGCAGGGAACCCAGAGTGGGCCTGGGTGGGCCAGGGCACAGCCTGGCAGAGGGGAAGGGGGAAGGTCAAACCCAGGCATCCAGGCACCTCACTCCCCACCCCCTTTCTCCACAATGTCACTGAGTGGGAGCTGAACCTGGGTGTCTAGGAGTTCCCTGTCCCCTCCTTACTGCTGTACTCCCTCAGAACCTTCCGTTTGCCCCCACAGGGTGCTCCTACCTGGCCTGGCTGGGTTATTCCTGCCCCCTAACCTGGAGCCTGCCCTGGACAATCTCCTGCAGGACATTGCCAAGGCGGGTAAGAGAACAAGGGTCCCTAAACCCCCGCTCGGGTTCTGTGATCCCTATCTGGGCCCCCAAATCACCTGTCAACCAATACCCTCTTGCATCCCCCAACACATCTGGGATCCTCCCCATCCATCCCACAGCACTGTAGATCTGGAGTCCTACTCTCCCCATAGTCTGGGGTGCATCCTCAGAGCCCAGGTCTCCCTGTCCATTCCCAGATCCTGGGTCCCCTTGTCCCAGCCCAGGTCCCCTGTATCTCCATTTGTGGGCCCCTTGGTCCTTGATGTCCCTCCCGCATTCCCTCCGTCACCTCTGTCCCCTATAAGATCCAGGGTCTCCCTGTGTTCTCCCATCTGAGGACCTCCCTGCCCCCCAGTTCTGAGCACCGCTATCCCCTCTCGCCCTCTCAGATTGCCTCTGTCCCCCCCAATCTGGGGTCTCCATGTTCCTCTTATCCGGGGTTCCCCATGTCCCACCAGAGACTAGGTCCCTTCACTTCCTGTATGAGGTTTCTTCATCCTCTCCACAACTCAGATCCTTTCCCCCAGATCCCATGTCTCCAAAGTCCCAGGTGTCCCAATGCAGCCTCTGCTCCCCCCTTCCCCCCTCCCCAGGTCTCTTCCCCAACCTGGTTCTGCTGGACCCGGCCATGACTGCCCGGACCCTGCACTCAGCTCTGCCTCCAACCTGGACATCGCAGTCCTCAAGCCTGGTGACCTGGTGCCCAGCCCCAGGCCCCCCCCAGCCCCCAGCCCCATGGCTTCCAGCCCTGTGGCTCTTCCTGGCCAACCACATGGAAGACCTGGGCCCTGTGGAGGGGCTCCCCCTGGTTCCTCTGTCCCTACCGGGTGCCCCCAGAACCCGTCTGGCCCCACTGATACCCCAGTCTGGCCTTATCTTCCAGGTGTGGGAGGACCAGTGCCTGCCACCCACTGTGGCCCCCATTCTGGAGGCCCTGGGCTGCCCCGTGGTGCCCCCAGGCATATGGCACCGCTCTCTGTCCCGCTACATCCTGCCCCCATCCCCCCTAAATGCTCTGCGGGCCCTGGGCATGCGGAGGGCTGAAGACGTGGCCTCCCGCCTGGCCTCACTGCCCGCTGCAGCTGTGGACACCCTCCGGCTCTACCTAGCAGATGTCCCATCCCTGGCAGAGCCAGAGAGAGCCATACTGGCCACTCTGCCTCTCTTCATCCCACTGCCCTGCCTGGCCACCCCACAGCCCACAGGGCTGCAGCCTGCCAGTGCCACCCCAGCACTGGAGCCAGAGCTGGAGCTGCCCAGAGATGTAGTGCTGCCGAAGACTATGTTGTGGTGCCGGGACGAAGCTGACCGGCAGCTCCTAGGGCGGCTCCAGAAATCCTTTGTCAGTGCTGCCTATGTGGCACTGGAGGGTATCAGAGCTGTGGCCCAGGGTGCCTATGCAGGGCGGGCAGCTGAGGCCCAGGGGCTGCTGTTTTGGGTGCTGCAGCATGGAGATACCCTCTTTGCACAGAGCCCCCCGCTCCAGCAGGCCTGCAGTAACCTGGCCTTCCTGGAGACCCCCAGTGGCCCTGTGCACCCACGGGACCTCTATGACCCCTGTGAGAGTACCTTGCAAGTGCTGCTGGGCCCTGAACACTTCCCCCCTGCCTCCTTCTGCACTCCACTCATTCTCCGTGCCTTGAGAGTCCTGGGCTTGCGGCATGGCAAAGGTTGCCTGGTGCCTTCAGACATCCTAGAGGCTGCAACAACTGTGAGTCAGGGTGGTGGGGCGGCTCTGGACAAGGCTAAGGCGCTGATCAAAGTCTGCAATCACCACAAGGCACTGGCTGGCTTCAGTGCAATGGAGCTTAGGCAGCTCTGTGCTCTGCCATGGGTACCCCGCTCAGAGTGCACTGGAAAGCCTGAGCAGCCCTTCCTGCCCCCAAAGGACCTGCGATCCATCAGGTACATGTATCTGGTGGGGCTTGCCATGCCTCTAACGGGTGTCTTCACGCTAGAGGCCGAGGAGAAGCTGGGGCTGTGCCAGGCCCCACCACCAGAGAGGGTATGGGAGCAGCTGAGATGCCTGGCAGGGTGCAGGGACACAGATAAGGTAGTTCCTGCACTCCGGGCTATCTACCAGCACATGCAGGAAGATCTGGGGACCTTTGGGGCTGCCCCAGAGGGTGCTGTGGTGTGGACTGGGGCTGGGTTTGTCCTACCAGGTGATGCTGTGCTGGGCTACCCTGAGGAGCTGGACCTGGAGGCACTAGTGCCCCGGGTGCCCCCCGACTTCCTGCCCTACAGCTGCCTGTTCAGGGCTTGGGGAGTGGAGGCAAGGGTGAGTGAGGAGAGGGTGGTCACAGCCCTGCGCTGCCTGGGGCAGACCATAGATGCCCGCAGCTCTGGTTCTGGTACAGAGGCAGAGTTGAAGGTGGCTGTGGCTGTCCTGGAGTGGCTCAAGAACCAGGGCCACCGGGCTGAAGGCATGGTGCCGGTGCCAGTGAGGGTCCCGGAGGGCTCTGGCTTCACCCTTCGTCCAGCTGCCTCTGCTGTGTACCTGGATATGGAGCTGGAGGCAGAGGAAGACATGCAGGAGGTGGTGCACGAGGCAGTGCAATGCAGCACAGCTGCATTCCTTGGCACAGAGCTGCTCAGCACCCGGGTGCTGGGGCCAGAGCCGTTCACAGCCTGCGGACCTTCAGAGCCCATCACCTTGCGGCTCCGCAACATCCTCCAGGAGTATTGTGAGGAAGGTGACCTTTTCACAGAGATGGTTCAGAACGCAGAGGATGCTGGAGCCACTGACTGCCGCTTCCTCCTGGACCTCCGACAGTGCAGAAAGGCCATCACTGGGCTGCTAGACCCAGGCATGGCTGCCTGCCATGGCCCAGCCCTCTGGGCCTACAACAATGCCCTGTTCACAGAGGATGACCTCCGTAACATCACTCGGGTCGGGGCGGCTACGAAGAAGCACCAGTCAGGCCGGATTGGACGCTTTGGGCTGGGCTTCAACTGTGTCTACCGCATCACAGATGTGCCAGCTGTGTTGAGTGGGGCCACACTGCTCATCTTCGACCCCAATGGCACCCATCTGGGCAACCACATCCCCAAGACCGGCTGCCCTGGCATCCGCCTAGACTTCTCCACTCGGCCCCGCATCCTCCGTGCCTTCGCTGAGCAGTTCCGGCCCTACCAAGGTATCTTTGGGTGCCATCTGCCTGAACCAGGAGCCTTTCCAGGGACCCTTTTCCGCCTGCCTTTCCGCACCGAAGAGGAAGCTGTGACATCACAGATCTGCTCAGAGGCCTTTGGCACAGAGCGTATCCGGTCCCTTGGCACTAGCTTCATTGGCTCTAGCCGGCTCCTTCTGCTTTTCCTGCGGCGAGTGAAGGAGATATCCCTGGAGATGCTGCCAGATATGGCCACCTCACCTGAGGATGCTGTGTCTCTGGCCATACTGCAGCGAAAGGAGATCCGAGACTTGGGGGCCCCTGGGGATCCCCCGAGCTGGGCAGCCATTGAGCAGCTCACAGCCCATGAGAAGACCTCCAAGACCACCTGGCACTACCTAGTTCTGGTGTGCCAGGGGGATGGGGAGTCCCTGGAGCTGTTTCACCAGAGGACACAGGCAGGGCTCCATAATCTGCCCCCCATGGCTGGTGTGGCTCTTCCCCTTGCCCTCACTGCAGATGGCAAATGGGTGCCGCGCATGGGTGCTGAGGAAGGACAGGTCTTCTGCCACCTGCCCATGCCAGTGGCCTCAGGGCTGCCCATCCATGTGCATGGGGCCTTCAGCATCCTCTCAAACCGTAAAGGGCTGTGGGACACGGCAGAGCAGGGCGAGTGGAACCGGGCACTGCTCCGGGATGCCGTGCCGGCTGCTTGGCTTCGGGCACTGGCCCACCTCCGCACCCTGCAAGAGGCAGGTGAATTGAAGAGCTATGAGTATCATGTCTTCTGGCCAGACATCAGCGCTGCCCGGTTCCCCTTTACTGAGGCAGTGGCTTGTTTCTACCAAGTTGTGGCAGCCAGGAATGGCCCCAGGCTCTTCTCTGATGGCTGCTCATGGTGCCCACTGCAGGATGCCCGCTTCCTGCACCGAGCTGTGGCCAGACACCCCAAGCTGGGGGCCGTGGCAGAACGTGTCTTCGCCACCACCTTGTCTCGTCCCCTGTTGGCTGTGGCCTTGCCAGAGCGGGTACAGAGGGGCCTTGGGAAAGCGGTGGCTGCTGGCACCTATGACTGGCCTCGGTTTTACTGTGAGCTTGTGCTGCCCAACTTGGAAGACCTCTCCGTGGCTGACCGGGACCCACTGCTTCTCCACGCCATGACGTTGTGTACAAGGGTCTGCAGACAGTTCCCTTCATTCCTGCCACCCCTCATGGCCACCTGCAGCTCATCAGCCACCTGGTGCATCCCAGAGGCCGTGCAGCTTCTTTATACAACCCCAAGGATGGGCGCTTCCCCTGTGGGGATGCATTCCTCTCTCCAGAGAGACTGGGTCGGCTGGAGCAGCTGGGCATGGTTCGGGACTTGTTGGCCCTGCCAGAGCTGCTGGAGCAGGCAAAGACAGTGAAGCATATCTGGACTCAGGACCATGCCCAGGGATGCCGGAAGGCTGCCTGCATCCTTGAACTGCTTCAGGATGCAGTGGAGCAGGGGGTGAACAACATCATGCAGGCTGCTTTCCGGACTGTGCCATTCCTGCCTGGGACACTGCCCACTGGTGAACATGTCCTGCTCCCAGCTGCCCAGCTCTACCATCACCTCCATGCCCCACTAGTGGGGCTCATCCACCCTGTCTTGGCTCATAAAGTGCTGGGAAAGGACTTCAGCCTCTCTGAAGAGGTTGCATCCTTCTTGGGGCTGGACCGGCAGCTACCAGCAGCTG